AAGGTAGTGGTTCTTTTTGCGATCCCACATCCGTGCATGGCAAGTTAGTTTTCTCTTTATGCAATTTTTCAAAGGTAGGAGTGGAGGATGAACTATTCAACGTGTGATACAAGTCACCAGTTAAGCTTTTGTCCATGGTCTGCATATTTCCAAGTGAGTGTGTTTGTTTAATCAACTGAGTGAGAGCAGAAGTGGTTGGTGGCGTGTTCTTACGTATCATATTTGTTGGGCATGATTGAAATAATTTACAGTCTTTAAGTGTTCGTTTTAACTCCAATTCTTGGATGTGAGAGTGTTCGATGCTAGTAGGGTTTGAGTGTGTGGCTGTTGTTGCTTTGGTTTGGTTCAATGCAAACGTTGGAGAAAAACCAATTGTTTGATCGTGATGATGATTCGGTGATGAACACGCTGCCTCAGTAGAATCAAAACAGTTTTCTTCTACTCTTTCCGAAGAATTTTTATAAAGATTCAATGTTGAAGTTGGTACTTCCAACAACAAGGCCTTCTTCTTGTCGGAGCCGTGCAAAACATTTTTTTTGTTGCTCGTCGATGAAGGAGACTTGTGATCGGTCCGAACTGCTGGTTTCTTGTTGGCTTGGTGACTGTATCTGCTGTTCATAGTTTGAGTCTGGTGATCAACAGGAACCATGTCGTTGATGATGTTGCTTGTCGAAAAATCATGTTGTTGTGTCGATCGTACCTGATGATGTTTCATTTTGTTTGAACCTGTTCGTTGGGCCAACAATTCTAAAACGAGAAATTGGGACATGTGACCAAACTTCAGTTACTTTTAAGGAAACTTTTCAAACCTGTTGAATTTTGAATAACAGAGGTTTGTCCCTGAACACAGATGAAGTAGCTCAAAACAAAACGGTAGATTGGATGTTTTATGTCCTTCAATTTTCTTTTTCTTTATTTATAACGTTTGGTTAATTGAAATGAACGGATTAAATTCGAGAAATACAGGTGACAAGACCGAGAGTTAGAAAAAAATGATGAACCAACACGATGAGGTGCAGCAGCAGGGACAGTGCATGAAAGAAAGCATTCCTAATATTCCTTTCGTTGTGGAATATATTAAGCCATGTTGTTTTTGCTTGTTGGGAATGACTTTTTTGTTAACATTTTGTGGAGTGTTCTTTTCAGTGTTGATCACACTGTAAGTTTTGTATATTGTCTTAAGGAAATAGTATGGTCTATTTATTTCAATCATATATGCGTTCTAAATGTTTAGCGATACCTACGAGTTTCGGTATAACCAGGAATCTCAATGTCTAGTGATGTATCCTCGAGTTGCTTGCTCGGAAGAAGTGAACCAAGGCCAAACGTGTATGGCATTGGTGTGTTTACAGCAAACGAATACTACATGGGTTTCCAATTACAAGGACTGCCCATCCATTCAAATCCGAACGGTTCTCCGATATCCTCAAAACACCAAGTTTTATAATTTGACTTCTGGTACTAATACAACATGTTTTGTGAATAGCATGAGCACGAGCAGTAGTTTTGTCTCATACACGGTGAATAATCAAGAAAAAGTTGTTTGGAAAATACTATCGGGATTGAGTTGGGGTTTATTAGGTGTGGTGATTGCACCCTTACTACTCGGATGCTTAGTTTTAATGTTCAGGATGAAAATTCCCATCCTTAAACAAAAGTTTACCCTCAAAAAACAACAATCACAAATGAAACACCAGCACGGAGAGGATTCAAAAGAGCAAGAACAACTTACATCTGATCCAAAGTCATCTGTTTCTACAGTGAACGGAAGTAACACTCAGCAAGAACAACTTTGCCAGATGAAGAACAACAAGAAGACCTGAAGGAAACCTTAGACATGGAAAATCCAATTGAAACTGAAAATAAGGAAATTGAACTTGAGGTTATAAGTTATGACTAAACAGTAAACATCATCTCCATCACTCGTGGTTCATGAGTCAAAAACGAAAAAATGAACTCTAGACAACGATCTTCATCTCTTCAATCCTCCTTCTCTCGGAACAAGCATTCCCAACAATCAAATCAGCAACGGCCCATACGGTTATTATTTCCTGCAACAACAGAGGAAGAACGAGAATTGCAAGAACAGCATTATATTCCATCCCGATACATTGTAGCCATAGGAGATGTTCATGGCCATTTACAAGCACTGCAAAAATTATTAAAAAAGTTGGAACAGCATCTAGGAAAGGATTTATTTGAAAAATATCATTTAGGTGTGTTTAAAACTGAATAAGAGGAATTTTAAAATTATATTTCATCTAATTCGTAAAATTGTTTTGTGCTTGCCTCTTGCCACTCATGACAAATTTAATGTTTAAAACAGTTTTCTTGGGAGATTATGTTGACAGAGGCCCTCAAATTAAGGAAACAATAGAATTCATGATTAGCTTAAAGAAACAACGAAAGCCAAATACCACTCATTTTCTAATGGGCAATCATGATCATGCATGTTCAATGTTCTTAGGTTTATTCGATGATGCTTTGGAGAATGGAAAATCGCTTGGTATCACATGTCAAAATTATACACGTGAATTTGAGCTATGGAAAGGTATACAAGAAGTCGCAAATAATATGCATCTTCAAGGCCGACGATGGGGCAGTGGGTTTGTTTATTCGAGTTTTAACACATTCTACAGCTATATTTGTGATTCAAATTCGCAAAAAGATATGGATGTGGTGGGTGACTTTAAAAAATTTCAATCTAAGGTTCCTGACGAACATAAGAACTTTTTTCGAAATTTACCTTGGGTGTTGTTTAACGAGGACAATATTTTTGTTCATGGTGGTTTTCACTCTTACACGAACTTGAAAGAACAGTTAGTGCCGTTGTTCAAGAGAGACATTTATCAACCAAGAGTAAAACCTCTTTCTGAACGAGGGTACATCGACATGGATGGCCACAAAGACACACATAGAAGAATTGTGAGTGGCCATGTTCAGGTGAAAAATGCCAAAGTGAGTTCGAAACGAGCCTTAATTGATATCAGTGGTGGTGTAACAGGAGAATTGTGTGCTTTAATACTACCATCAGCTAAGGTCATTACCACGGAAGAAAATTCTGTGCTTGTGAAAGGAGACATGGACGACGAGGAATTGCAAGAATTATTAAAGAGTGATTAAATTCCAACAAATTGTAATCTTTATACATGGCCATATTTATTGACACACGTCTATTCATTCACCTTCAAGAATCTCTTTCGCATGGCTTTGACTTTTTCAATCTTGGCAGTGAGCGAATTCTTATTTGTGTCCTTTTTCTTTGTAAATCGTTCTCTAATTTTTTCTCTTCTATCTTCTGCCTCTCTTTCTTTTTGCATTTCCTTTGATTGAGTCTTCACTCTGTGCGGTAAATGTCTGTGATTGGCAATCTTTCGCACCTCTTCAACGCTTCTATATCTCTCTATTAATTTTTGGTTATATTCAATTTGTTGTTGTTCCTTCTTGGTCATGCCACCACCTCTCAATGGAGCACTTCGTTCATCCTTCCAAATTCTAATAGCTTGATCGTCACTTCCACTATAAATATACCGTCCATCACCAGAATATTTCACACAAAACACTCGTTGCATTCTCTTGGTATGATAAACCTCACGTGCCTTGTAAGAAGTGGAATCCGTTCTGAAAATACGAATGGTCTTATCGTAACCAGCAGTCACAATTTCTGTACCACTTGGATTGTAGTCAACATCCATCACTGCATTTATATGGCCTGAATGCATCATGAGTGGACCCTTTTCCAAAATTCTCATGTCAAAGGTATATACATTGCCATCTTCATTTGCTGCTGAGAAGTGGAATGGATTCATTGGACTCCAACAAACCTTATTAGATTTTGTTTGCATAGTCACAGCACGAATCATTTGATTGGTTTTCATGTCATACAATCCAACTGTTCTGTCACGTGCACAATATGCAATCAAATTCTTCTCAACCTTATTAAATTTAACGCTATAAATGGTTTCAGTCGAGGTTGCAAGCTCATACTCTTGTTTACAAACCAGTCTTGATGAATTACCTGGAATTAAGGAAGATGAACTATTTCCTGAACAATCCCAAATTTGAACGTATTCATGTCCACTGGTTACCACAATTGGGTCACTATAATGATGATCAATACAGAGTAAGGCATTATGTGAAACAACATCTTGAATAGGAGTGGCATACGAAGGTAACTTGGTTGTTGCATTACTATTGCTCTTTCCCACATAATCTGCCAAAGTGTATCCAATACTTCCAAATTTTGTACTTGCCATATTCGGATTTACATTGGCCACTTGTAAATTCAATTCCCATCTCTTTAAATGCTTGTCAGTTCCAACAGTAAAATAAAACGAGTTCTCACTCGAGTCCGATGAATGTCTATAGGGTGGAATTACAATTCCATTCACAAATCCATTATGAGCTCTATCAATGGCATAAATCGTCTTTCTCTCCGTTAAATCCCAAACTCTAATTTGACCATCACAGCTTCCACTAATGATATGAATGAGAGAATTAGGATCCGTACAAATACATGTAGGTGTATCTGCATGTCCCGATAAATCAGCAAGAAAAGGCTTTGCATAAATATTATCAATTTTTGCAGCATTGATGGCTCTCATGTATTCACGAGGCTTTTCAAACCGATGAATGAGTTCGGGATTTGGATCGGAAAAGTGTCGGGTGGTTTCATAGGAAGTTCTTCGTGTATGGGCATCATCATCTCGGGAGATGGTTGTAATTTTTACCATTTTGTTTCAATACTGGTTATTGTTGAATTTGTTTTTGAATTTGTTGTTGTTGTTGTAGTAGTGGTTGAATGGAATGATGGTGGTGTTGTTGAATTTTTTTCATCCAATTTTTTGAACTTGCTTTTTCGACTTGCGTTAACTTGTGCTATACACGATGAACAACCTTTCAAAAATTGATGAGATTTATCCAACAACAAGCAACACTTTTTAAAATACAACATGATTCTAATACTATGACACACAATGGTGTACACCATTTGACTACTACTATACGAGCATTTCATCATAATCATCCACACCTTCCTCTCCAAGAGTTCCTCCATAATATTCATTCAACATGGTTCCGTCACCTTGAAGGTCGTCACCACCAACGCCATCACCAACACCATTATATTCATGATATTCTTCTTCATCTTGTCTCGAAGAAGGTTGTTCATTCATGACCACTCCCATAATTCCAATACCCTTCTTTTTTCGTTTACTAGTTTCATATTCATCGTCTTGATCGTAACTCTCATCTTGTTCATTTTGAGAATTTCTTAATTTCACAACTTGTAATCCAATTTCACTTTCCTTAATATTTCGTTTCTTCTTTTCAGCTCGAATTCGATTCAATAGAGGTGGTAGAAAATCTAAACTCGATGCATTCTTGAGAAAATCATGTTGTAATAATTCTTCCACACTGGCTCTCTTTTGAGGATCTTTTTCGAGACATTTCGAAAGAAATTCATGAAAGACATCACTCCATTCAGAGGAAGAGGTAAATGTTGGAGGAGGTTGAGATCGAATTAAAAACAAGGCACGAATAGGAGTATGTTCCATGAGAGGAACAGTTCCATTGGCCAATTCCAAGATTAATATTCCCAAAGACCACACATCGGTCTTTTCATTGTATTCAGCGCCTGAGACGACTTCTGGAGACATCCAATACGGAGTACCTACGACAGAACGTCTTCGTCCAGTATTCTCAGCACAGAATCCATAGTCTGCTAATTTAATTTTACCGTCACGTGTAATGAGAACGTTATCGGATTTGATATCTCTGTTTTTTAAATGACCAATGATTAGGAATATGATGGATTTCACAAAAAATGACCGACCCAAATCATTCATCAAACCAATATATAATGATCGATGTGACACCATCCATACGTCAGATTAGAATATCATAATCATGATTAATACCATAATCATGATTAATACCGTATGAGTAACACCATTAAAAAAAATACATCAGAACACAATGATGGTCCACAACAAATTAATAATTATTACAACAAGACCATGATTAAATTGACTCACACTTACCTGTGAATGACACCATATTTCGTGTGAAGAAGATGCAAACACTTAAGAATGGGTATTAAAATGGCAGCAATTTCACTTTCTAAAAATCGATGATGTATCACATTATTATCTCCAATTAAATCTGTTAACTTTCCTCCAGAGACATATTCCATAGTGACCCATAATTCGTCATGACTTTTTTCTTTATATTCCAACATGGTGTCCATATCAATGGTTGTTGTAATGCCATTTGAAGAATTAGGAGAAACAGCTGAATTGGTTTGTTGTTGAGATGAATTTTGTTCTTGTTGTTGTTGTAATTTTCTTCTTTTAGAATCAGATAAATATCTTCCAATATGTTCATGAACTTGACAATTCACAGTCGAATAAGTTCCAAAATATTGAACCATCAATGTCTTGTCGAGTGTGGCATCATAGTCAAATATAGAAGAATAGGATTTACAAGCGTGTTTCATCATGAAAATTTCATTCTCAATCATGTCAAAGTTTGTATTCTTTGAAGTTGTCAGTGGCATGACTTTGATGGCTACTTTTTTACCACTTGGAACATGAATGGCTTTGTAAACATCTGCAGTACTTCCTGTACCAATCTTTTTCATTTTAGTAAAGAGACGAAATGGATTCTCGTGACTTATTAAATCAATGAGAAGTTTGTCTTTTTTGAATTTTGATACATTGGCTGACAAGGTTGTTGCGGTTGAAGACGTGTCAGTATTTCCAACTTCAACATAATAACCAGCTTCTGTTCTTTTCACATTTGTGAAATTCATTACAAATTGTCCACTACTATTCACATGATGATCCATTGTTGCACTCTGTTCGGAAGGTGTCGATACTGTTTTCGCCGAGTTGGTTTTTGTGAAAATTTTAGCAAAGAAACCCTGAGAGGCTGATTTGGAATGTTCATGTTGACTCAAAGATGGTGGTTGAGAAGTTGACGAGTTTGGTGTCGATTGATTCAAACTACTATTACTACCCAAAGTACTTGTCACGACCATCATGGATGGACTCTCCGGATTGGAATTGGTTCCATTATTGCCATTCCCAGTATTATTATTATGGACAGCCACATCCATGTGTGGAGAGGTGGGAGGTGGTTGTTGTTTGTTCTTTCCCATAAAACTACCCGATAATGAATTTCCACTACCACTACCTCCTCTCAATTTACTAAAAAACGAAGAGGAAGAAGGAGAGGCCAATGAGTTGTTGTTGTTGTTTGTTGTTGTTATGGTTGTAGTAGTAGTCGTAGTATTAGTATTAGTAGTAGTATTCTTATGATGATGGTGGTGGTCACTCATGGAAAGAGAAGGTGAACCACTACTGTTGTTCGAAGGTGTTGTGGTGGTCACTACCGAACTCGTATTGAGAGCAGGTGGAATGGAATCAATAGATTTGGATGATGACAAGGAAGGAGAGGAATCTCCTCCTCCTCCTCCATTCGTATTAGGATGAAAAGGAGAACCTGATGATGTTAGTTGTGGATGATGGTCCAATTCCGCTGAAAAAGTTTCTCCATTCAAACCGCTCGAGTGTGAACCATTAGTAGTAGTATTATTATTATTATTATTATTATTGTTATTATTGACATCATCCACTGTGAAATGAATTCCTTGAAGACTTGACAAATCCCAATCTTTGGGAACACCACTCAAACCAAATTCGCGATCAAAATCGACATGATGTTCGAGACGAACGTTGAAGGGAGCTGAGATTTCAATTTGTTGAGAAGAACTCGTGGTGCTACTACTGCTGGGTGATGCGGTCGATTTGTTGTTGGACTTGTTGCCACGACGGAACAGACCTTTCATTTTTTTTGTTAACCATGACAGTTGATGGAATTATCATGAAGAAGAAATTTGTTGTTTGTGATTAGACCTAGTGCTATGTCTCTGGGAGGGATTAACATGGGTTGTTCATTGTGCTCTCGGTCGACTGAGAGCTTCGACAATTACGCCCTTTCGTTCAAGATATTAGAAATTTGAATTTCTTGACAACATTAAAAAAAATGCCCTCATCAGGAATCGATTCCACATCCGAAGAATTTCCCACGAGTCGGAACAACAATGGTCCCACAACACTCACATCCACACCAATATTTCAAAATGATAGTACTACACAGGAAAATGAAGCCAAATTATTACAACAATTAAAATCAGTATTAACCGATACCAATCAACCCACAACATTTACTAAAAACGATACAAAATTACAACAACTTCAACAACAACTGGAAGAGTGTTCCAAAAAAGCACACTCATTTCTGTACACGACATTATCTGTGGCGGGTGCTGTTCCCTTGACTGTATTATTTAAAACTATGAAACCATTATATATTTTTCCTTTGATTGGAGGAGCTGCAGATTTTTGGATTACTACTCAAAAGTGTGCAAAGGAGAGAACAGAGTTCGATCGACACATGCTGAAAAGAAGAAGATATGAATTAATATCTGAAAAGAAGAGATTGGAAATGGAAAGAAATGCTTTATTGGATGAATTAAAACGAATGAATGAAGGAAAATAATAATTATTATTCATGACTACAAGTTTTTGTTTGGCAATTTTTAGAATTTTCGATTTTTGGTCATTCAATTTGGAAATTTATAGATTCACCTGCAATATCGACAGAGCTATTACCAAGTAGAAACAAAATATTATTACAAGTACATTGGGCACCCAGCTCGAGAACAAAAAAATAAACAGACAAGATGAAGGTGTTTGTCAACATTCCGAAAAACAATGAAATTTACTGGGCATACAAGCGACCACAAGTGACCATTAAAATTCAGTCGAATGGTAATGGTGTTAAAACAGTGCTCACAAACATGTCAGAGATTGCCTCCGCATTGAACATTCCCGATCAAGGTAAATAGAAATTCAGTTATGAATAATTTTGGGTTTCATGCACTGGATGTAAAAGTGGTGATGAAATATTTAGGAATGAAAATTGGTGCGTGTAGTGGCATCAAGAAAAATCAATCCTTTCTGACAGGAAGATACACGGTAGAAATGATCGAAGATGTTTTGGAACAATTGATTGCAGAGTTTCTCCTATGTTCAAGGTGTGGAATTGCAGAAATTAACTTTTACAAACAACTAGTTCGTCCTTCACTTCCTGTTAGAGAACCAATTTTGAGACAATGTTTAGCATGTGGGCACTATAATTCATCCATTTCACATGACTCGAAAATGTTTTCAATCTTGATGAAATGCGATAACAATCACCAATGGATGAAAGTTAAAGTATCACCAAAAGCAAGATCTTTGAAGTACATGTTTGACAATTTAAGAGACGCAATTCTGCCATCTGAAGACAGTTGTTGCGGAGATGGTGTTAAATGCATTCCTTCGTTGAGTGATATTTCTATAGTACTGAATTAGTCTTCACTTGAAATGAGTCAAAGAAAATGTCGAGAACAATTGAAAATGAGAGATTTGAGATCGCCTTCGAGGTTTATACCTTACTAATAGATACACACTTGTAGTAGTTCCAAAACTTGGAATCTATTTCAATCAATATATTCCAAAGGATGTTCAAGTTGCTTCAAGCTATAAGTGGACACTTATAACTTGAAGCAACTTGAGCTGCTTACGTTTTAGTCTTGAAAGGAGCTTTGTTCTGAGCTAGATTGGCAACATATGCTTCAAGCAAATAGAAATACCGTTTCTCACACTTTTCCTTCCAATGAGGTTTCAGAGGAAGACTCACAGTCAACGCTTTCTGAAAGTGTGGAAGGAGAGCAATTAATTTCCTCTGAAATCTTTGTTGTAGAAGACAACGATGTTGTTGATTGTTTTTGTTCTAGTAAATGGAATGGCAATGTACCATCGTTGTCATCTTGTACAGACTCTTCTGCAGTATCTATTGACGCCAACTTGGCCCGTTCCAATTTAGTTTCTCGATATCGAGCTCCAATCACAACAAACACTCCAACCAAAATGAAAGCTGCTCCAACTAACACGAGAGGAGATGGTATTTCTTTAAAATAGAACACTCCAACTGTGGTTGCAACCAAAGGAGAGACAGTCGAATATATAGATACAATGGTGGGAGCAGTTAGTTTTGAAGCATAAGATGTAATGACAAATTGAAGGCTACCATAAGGAATTGCTGCGTAAAGAACTCCCAATATAGACATTGTATCTACTTTCCTTAATGAAAATGAGGGGAAAGCATACGAGGCACAAAGGAATGATGTGACTAACCCAAAGAAGAACGACCAAAATGTGACAGTCGTAGGTGGTGTCCCAGCAATAAGCAAACTCCTCTGAAATATTAAATAAATAGCATAACTAAAGGTATTGCCCAACAAACAAAGTAGGCCTAATAAAAACGAGAAATTAATTCCTTTGGTTGCATCATGTAAAAGGATGTAGTAGTAAGGAAGTCTTTCAAGTGGCGATGAATTGGAATTGGTATCGGGCTCAAGTTGTTGAGTAGGGGATGCACTCTTGCTTAATGCCGAAACTAGCAGCATTGACATTGCTGAGTGTATTGTGTGTTCATCACGTGTTTGTTGTCAATGAATATAACGTAAGTATAGTATTAAGATTTTTCTGAAATATGTTTCAAAATCTACCTACGTACCTCCACCTACAGCAATAAGAACTCCAATAAATTTGAGAAAGGACTTGGTTTCTTTTCCCATCATCATGGATAAGGAACAAACAATGACTGGTACCACCGGTTGAATAACACCTGTGATGGTGGAATTGGTTAAATAGAGTCCAGCAACAAATAAGACTTGATTCAGAACCACCAAAGTTCCACAAAAAGCAAGCTGCTTTGCCTTCTTTGCATCAGGTATTCTTCTAATGATATAAGACATGAATAAGGACTTTTCATCATAAAAGACGCTATAAATCCACCCCAAATAGCGGCTTGCATAAATATTTGTGTGCTTGATTCTGAATCTTCGTGCTCGTTTCACGATGTACTTTTCACTCCTGAAAGTATAGTGTCTATCCACGAGGAGCATCATTGGAAATAAGGACAACACAATAATACAACATCGTACAAAGGCAAATATTAGAGGGTGCCAAAGTTTCATCGAGTAAGGTGTTACAATCAAGAAGACTGAAAACATGGCCAAGTTACACCAAATCAAGACATGAGCGAGTACGTTGGACTTGAAGCAATCCCAATTTAGGAATGATGCTTCGTTTCTTTGCTCGATTTCTTCAGCTGTAGTTTCGCCCAATTTCAAAGAATCTTGAATTTCAGCCATTTCAATTAATTCTGAATTGATGGCGAATTCTTCTTTATGATCTGAGCCAATATGTTCTTGTTGATGATGATCCTCTACATGTGAAGATGACTTGCCGGAATAATATTCGAAAGTAGGTCTTGGTTCGTTCGGAGCCACGTTCATGGTTGATAAAAACTAAATAGGTGTGGCGTTCTGCTGAATCATCAGGAAATTACTGAATGTAAATCAGTAATGGAGGTGTTTATCGTGAAGCGTTAGAGAATGATGATGTTGATTATAACGAATGAGCTTATTGTTTTTTCATCAAGTGGCTATTGATGTTGTGTTTCAAAAAAGCACCTACAAATGCTTTCATGCAAGTATTGTTCCAAATTGATTGCTTTACAACTTCAAACTGTTGATAATTCAATGGTATGCAACTCCGAGTGAAGAAACGAATTCATGACACCTCGGTGGTTTCTTTGGAATTGTTGTGCGGCTTTTTTTCTGGTGAGGACAAAAGAAAAATCCTTTTTAGTATCCTTGAGCTGGTGATTTGTGTTCTTTTTAGCAACATTCATATACTTGCTCGTGTTACAACTGTGTAATGTAAAATTGAAAGAGAAAATTTTAGTCCTCTCAAGCAAAGAAAAGTTACATGTGAAACATTGGAAACTATTATTGAGGAGTTGGGCAGGGAGACGTATTCGCTTCAAGAAGAACTGGTTGATTTTTTATAACAGATCGAAATGTTAATACAGTTAATATTCTTAATCCAAAGAGTGTTGATGATCATTTGGTGAACGGAAGGCTTGGAATGCTTTGAAAAATTCAAGGTTTAAAATTTACAACCTTGTAAATTCCAAATTCTTATTAGAGGTGGAGGATTGTACTCTAGATATTAGTCAAATGTTGAATGAGATGAAAAATCTTAAACAAACGGTTTCAAGCCCTGAGAACACTGTGCTAGTGTTGCAAGAAGAAAATAGAGGCCACAAAATCACTATTTCAAACCTCGAGAACGAAAACAGAAACCTCAAGAACCATCTTTCCAACCTAGAAGATGAAATACAAGATAGCAATGAACTGAACGAGGTTGATTTTGACTATTTAGAAGATAAAACAACAGCGTTACATGCCGTTGTTGTCAAGTTAATGATCAGTTCCTTTGAAGGTGATAGCCGCTTCCTCCAAAATGCAAACCTTGTTCAAGATATTCTGCAACAAGTACCAGACAATGATACAAAGATTGGATAAACAAATTTCATCAAAGGAAAAGGCAGAAGAGATTGCGATTGCTTTTTCGATTCAAAGTAGTCATATCCTACCCTCTTGTAATACATCAGTAGATGATTATACGGAAAGTGTGTTGGATTATTTGAAGAGAGTAATCAACCAGGTTAAAATTTTAATGTAACATCTGAAGTTTTGAAGAATAAACTAAATATGACAAGGGCCTAGAGACAGCCAATACCACTCATCAAGCATTGATCCAGCATTATTTCATCAGCATTGAATTTGTCCCAAGGACACTTTACATAAGGATGCCTTGTTCCGGCCCGAAGAAAACCAACAGCAAAAAGACCATCTCCATAATCAATTATCGTTGAAGACAAACAATTTAACAAACGACAGTCTTTGGTCTGTGGATCCGGTGCCCCTGCGTGGGTTCTGGCTGCGGATTTGTCTAGGCCTTCGACAAGGGCAATCAAAAAATTGTAAATACTCGCTTAAAGTTTATTAATAATCCAAACCTTCTCATGTTTATTATCTTATTCAATACTCGTACTTGCTACACCCAAAAATGGGCTGTGATCTTGCGATTACATTACCTTGATGAGTTTCTTTCATCAAACTATTGAGAGACTATTAAGTTAGAGAGAGTGGCAATTCCATGATGAACAAACCAGACGATAAGAACATGAAATTTCACATTGGCATCAACAAGATGTGGTGAGGGGCGTATGATCAAAGGACTCTCACGAAACTATTATCTCTGTACCTTGAACAACCTTGTGTCTGCTCCTCGATTTTTTGCAGGTGACAAGTTGGAATGGACAGGTGAATTCTAAAACAAAAAAAATGTTGCCCTCTGATGACGAGGAGCATGTCAAGCGTTTGATCAGAATCAGAATTGCTCCATACAACGGCAGAGTGAAAGAATTACAAGGAAGATTGGCAAATCTTTTAATTTCTCAAAGAAATTCTCGTGAATTATCTATTGAACCACTTGTCGTAAATGAATCATCACATGATGAAGCTGTACATGTTCCAACTTCAGCTGCTTCTTCTTCCGAACCATCGCCAAGTATTTCTGAGAATGAGACGATGCAACAGATGTCACATGTCAAAGAGGACAATATTGAGAGCTTGGTTTCCTCTCAAACCAATGACTATTTCGTTAAAGTGATGAATTCAATGCAACCATTCAAGAAGTTGTCGCCAGAAGATGAGAATGATCTATCATCCAACTCTGCCATGCATAAGGAAATCATCAACCAGCTGTCAAATGTTGAAAGAGGTTATAAATTGGTCAAGTATGCACTCAATGCTAATACCAAATTAAGACATGTCATCTTGCTACTTTCTCAAAACATTGTACCTCATTCTTCCACCATGAAACGTTGCATTTACTCTGATGCAAATTATGGATCCTATGTCAATGCAGAAATGGCTTTGATTTTGTTTGTTTATTTATTTGACATGAAAATCTATGATTGGCAAAATCAAAGTGATGTCACCAATTTATTCCGATCATTCAATTCGGTGATTAGATACTCTCCAAATGCTTCTCTTGCCATGTTCTACTTTGAGTTGTTCCAATTTATTGTCAACTCGAATAACTCTTGTGAAAAGAGAACTGAAAGAAACATTCCTGCTGTTGCCTATAACATTGCTTTGTGTTTGAGCGATCATGTGGACTCGAATGATTCTGTTCATACAGATCTGACAGATACCGATACTACTCCCATCAACAAAGAAATGCAAGAGCTTATTGATATTATTGAGTATTATAACAATATGGGTTTCAAGTTTTTCAACAACAGTACGGATGAGAATAGAATGGTGTTTTTTGGTGTCCGTAAGGTGTGCAGAAGAAGAATTTTGGAAATTAGCAATACCAGATCTACTTATCGACTTGAAAATGGTCTATTTGTTTCTGAAGAAGACAATGATGATGACACTGTCAGCGCCGTGACAGGATTATCCTCTACTGAGACATCCTTAATTGAATTGTTATACGACGATTTGGCTTTGAGATCAATGAAGTTGAGAGAAATTGAGGAAATTGAGGTGAAACGTTGTGTCAAACATGGAGATATATTTATGGAGACTGGAAAGAGCAAACAAGATTCCTCAACCTATTACAAGGCATGTGACGGAAATTTAATAGTGTTCTATTCCAGGAAGAGTAAAATTCCAAACATTATGAATGTTTACAGAACATACACGATGGAACAATTGAAGAAAAAACAACAAGATGCAAAATCCCACCTCATTGCTTGTTGTGACACTATATTGACAAGTACAATGTATGGAAATTATATGGATTGTGTTCCAATTATTCAAGACATGTTGAGAATGGATCCAGATGGACTAACGACATTGGAAAAAGAAGCTTTGAAAGAAGTTATTAATGTCATTTTCACAGATACTGTTCCAACCTATGACGAAGCTTTGAAAATTATTGCACTCATGCAACATTTTAAAATATCTTTTTAGCACATTAATGGTTCACGAAGTGTCGAGGGTTTCATAATGTGTTGACAGTGTCTTGGTGATTACCAACTCGTCACGGAAGTTGAAATAAAGTCAATTCTAATTGCTCTCGCTACTTGGACGAATGCAATACAACCTGAATTTTCGCGTTTTGTGCGTTTTTTTGCGTTTTGGTTGTTTTTTGACTTTCCAAGAATTTGATAAGATTTTAGTGAAATCTCAAACAACATCACAAAACATAAGAAATCATCATGAAAACGATGTAATCATCATAAAAGAAGTAAAAAATCAAAATTTATCGAATAGGTGTCACAAATTCGTGTTAAGAGACACAAGAAGGTCCTCAGAGATCACTTTGCTTTTGCTGGCCTTTTGATTGAGTGATGTGGGCTTTATCAGAATTTGTTGCTCGTTCCCTCACAAGATAAGTCTTGTGCGGCTCAACAATACACACATTGAAGAAGAGAGTTGTTCAATACGATCTTAAATTTCTACGAAGTTTCACCGAAAACAAGCAAAACAAATTCCAACATGAGTAAAAAATTCCAGTAAATCAATAGCATGTATCAAGTTGGAAATTGATGTTTCACTCGTGTATGGTGTGGAAATTGATGTTAAACACGTGATTTGCAACGTTTTATTCCTTTTACCCGTTTTTTGAATACTCATTGACGTTCTATTGCATCATCCCAACTTGTTCCTAAAGAGGATCAGTAAGGTTGAATCATTATGCAACTCTCTATTCCAATCTTGAATCATGCAAACATGCATTGTTTGCAACTCTCGCTGTGCAACCTGTAGCAATAAATAAAAAAAGATCACGAAATTGACGTGGCATCTGACAAAGTTCAATCAACGATGGAATTATACAGTGGGCGAGCAGGTGATCATGTCGAAGATAAATATTCGTTTGAAGATGAGGTGTACGAGGACAGTATAGAAGACGACGAAGAAGAGGTACTAAGAAGTCTCATTATAAGCGCTGATGAATTTATGCAACGATGGAATAATATCACTCCTTCGGCCAGCTTCTCAGAGGATACGGAAACAGTTACAATAATGATACCCATCGAAGAGATCTTAGTTAGGCCTACATGATGGTACTCAAAATAAAATTCGTGTTTTACTTTCACAAACACGACCATACAACTATACTTTGTCATGACCATCTATGACGAAGAAATCCACTGCTCCAACTAAGGCGAGCAGCATCAGCATGCAAAAGAAGGAAGTAGGACAGCCCGTTGAAAACTTAGAAACTTCCATGCACAGACCCAATTCGTCCTCTTTCTTCATCCTCATCCATTGACCCAAACCTTCGGTAAAATCATCTGGTCAGGTTCAGTCTTCATCTGCCGTACAACAACAACCAGTCATTTATGTAATGGAATACCAAAAGCTGCACACAAGTGAGAGGCCAAGCGATATTGTGAAACACGAGGAATACTATTGTACTTCTTCATGAGTTCATGGTTTTCATCGAGACCACTCTTCACCAAGTCAAGGACTCTTCCAAACAAGACGAGTACTCCTCCAAACAAGACAAGTACTCCTCAACAACAGAGGAACACTTCTCAAAGAAGGAATCAGAAAGGTTCTGAGGCTCTTGATCTACAAAGAGCTAAAATGCTGGGCCACACAGGAACAATATATATTGACAAGTTCTTGCCCGATCTCCTTACGGATTTCAATATCCGCCCAAACAAGATCGCCTTATTGAAAAAGCATCTCTTGAGAAGATGGAACAACTCTATACATATCTGCTCATCCTCAAGAAATTTGTTGGTAAATTGAGGGCTGCTAATATTACCCATCTCGAAAAGGAGGTGCAATAGGGTGGAGGACCCAACACATTCTTCAAGTCTCTCTCGAATCGAAAGAAGATGTGCTCTCTCGTGAACAATGCAGTGAATCAACAAAAGGATACTTTTGAAAAGAGAGAAAAGGCACGTAAAAGTACCAACACGAGAAGAGCCAAGTTGGTCGAGGAAGGCAAGTGTTCCGAGTGTGGTCATGTCATGGATAATGTTGCATTGACCAGTGCTGATAAGGAGTTCCTTAATGATAAAGATGTTCTCTTGGTCGACCAAGGAAGTTCTTCTGCCAGTTCCAGCAACAGTTCCAGCAACAGTTCCACCAATATTCTCGATTATGGTGATGAGATGGATTCAGAGACCCTGTTCGATGATAATGGTTTCATTCGAACAACCTTTCTTCGTCCCAGACGTCTGACAGTGTTTACGTAAACACAACGAGAGGGAGAGGCAAAAGTATCACAAGGTTAAGGAAGAAGGAGTCATGTGTCCAAGTCATCCATCGGTACCTTTGGAAGTGTGTGATCCAGAATTGGGCACAACAGCTTGTCAGAAATGTTACTCGTTCACATGGGAAAACAATTTGCCTCTTTGAAATGTTGTTCCACACACTCGATGGGACGTCCTCCGCAATGTCTAATAATGATCATTGTATGAAATTTTGCTACACACATTCTCGAGCTTGAGGATAGAGAGCATATTTCCCAAAGTGTGAACGAATATACTCTTGCACTGGAAAGCAGCCACTCGAGTTGTATCAGTGTTTGTGTGCTTGCTGTCATCAAATGGTTAACTTGGAAAAGAATGCGCGACTGGTTTTGAGCAAGGAAGAGATGTGCAATGTGATCCATATCAACGTTTATTGAGTAACATGATCACATGGCATCTTGGCTGAGTGGTCAAAAGCGTTAGACTTAAGATCTAATCCCGTATGGGTTCGTGGGTTCAAACCCCACAGATGCCAAAATCGAATTTTTTATATTTCACAGATGCCAAAATCGAATTTTTTATATTTCACCACAGATGCCAAAATCGAATTTTTATATTTCACAGATGCCAAAATCGAATTTTTTCATTCCCAACCCAGATGCCAAAATCGAATTTGACCAACTTACAAATTATTGTCATTACAGTTATTTCATCATGAAATCATACATAATAAACATTGAAATTTTAATTGCAAATTGCTGATAAGGGGAGGTAACTTATAAGGGAGGGAAGCAATTTCAACTTGAATTCTCTTTCAAATTGTGGAAGCAAGGTTTTTTCAGTTTCAGTATGTTGGAACAATTTAGCAATTTCAATCCAATCGACCTCCAAATCACCATCCAACATACTGAAACACTGTTGTTATTACCATTCCAAAACAGAGCTAGGAATTTTTCTAGATTGACTGGAGTCAAGCCAACACTTAAAAATTCATGAGAAATAAAACAGAACGAAAAACCCCCAGCTGAGAGGATGATGATTTTTGAAGTGGGTTGATAAAAGAACACAATACTCGTGCGTGTGAATGGATTACAAGGAAAGAAATTTTGATGAATTTCAATGTACCAATTATTGGACATTAAATTTGGAGTGCTAAAATCAAGTGTGAAAGAAGAACCCAATATTCGTCCGTGTAAATTCATAACAAGGATAGTTAGAGAACATTAAGGTACCAGTTATTGGACATATATATTTTGGAGTGTTTCCAATTGTTTTGAATCTTTCCAAAGAAATAAAAGTCTTCTTTGCAAAGAATTCAAAGACCAATTTATGAACACACAAAAGAAAATGCCTTCACAACATCAACCAGCGTTCATCACCTCCTTCCACGATGAATCCCGCGACACGAGAAGGCCAACCCGACGACTCGATCTGCCCATCATCAACTCTTTGGAATCATCAATCAATGACCATCCATTACCCATGGTGATCATGACAAATGTGTATCACTCCACAAGGAATTATCAAATTCATTCCATGACTCGACAATTACCCAACACAACGACGACAACGACAACACCATCCTCCACCAAAAACATTCCCAATGATTCATTTCAATTTCGCGAAAAACCCAAGGACATGACCACTTTACAGTTTCAAACTCCTATATCATCCATTCCCGATCCTCTTGGTCGTGTCGTCGCTTTTTCGGAGGACCATCATTCCATGAATCCCAAATCCCATCCAATATTGCATGATTCAGACGCAACCAATCCCATCCAAAACCATTCGACTCACACCTTCATGTCAGGTACTAGTTCCACCAATGACCTTCTTCACCACCCTAATTCAGACCAATCTCCTCCACCACTCCCTCCACCCATTATCTCCTCCTTGTCATCATCCAATGATTCCAATAATATCAACAACCAATCACGTCCAACTTGGAGTCATTGGCTTTCCATGCTCCTTCATCATTTCTTCTCTTTCATGAATACATATTTGATCGTCGACGATCCTGTAACCTTATTGAAACGAATTTTAAAACAACTCATCTTGATTAATCCTTATTTGAGAGCCAATGTTCGACGTGGTATGAGCAGGAATGGAACTAGTAATAGCACTGCCCAAACCACTTCAATCATTTCCTATCATAATCATTCCTTAGCACCTTGGCAATGGAGTGTATAAACATTCATGGATCGTTTTTTTGTACAATAAGGTGTTTCCTCATCCATCCACAACCAGGCACCCAGTCAAGTTTAAAAATTTATCAACAATTGGATCTTACGAATTGAACATATCCATTATTACGAATACCTCAACGTTTAATCCTTCCGTACAAACAACCAATAATTTTATAGTTCACGGGTTGTTTCGTAATAATGAAGAAGATTCGTTATTGTGCACCCAACGGATCTTGGTGTACACACCCAAAAAAAATGTCCAACATTGTTGAAAATCTCAAACAAGCACTCAATCCCAACAAGACCTTCCGTCCCAAACATAAATTCATCAAAGGTTCCTCTCAACACACACTCCACAAATACAAGAAGGAAACTCTCGGAAGTGGTGATCTAACAGCAGCAGTCAAGTTACCCGAAGACGAAAATTTAAATGAATGGTTGGCCATCAACACGGTTGATTTCTATAATACAACAAATTTATTGTATGGTAGTTTGGGTGAATATTGTACAAGAGATACATGTCCTGTCATGTGTGCAGGTGATAAATATGAATATCAATGGATGGATGGTAAGGATTACAAGAAAGCTACCAAAGTATCTGCTCCCGATTATGTTTCCTTGTTGATGGACTGGATTTGTCAACTTGTCAATGATGAGAATGCATTTCCAAGTGATCCAACCAAATTTCCAAAATCCTTCTTGACCATTGTAAAGACTATATTTAAGAGAATGTTTAGAGTCTATGCTCACATGTATTACAATCACTACAAGGATGCCAAACAATTGAACTTGGATAGACATTTAAATACTGCTTTTAAACATTTCATGTGTTTTGTGAACGAATTTGATTTGATTGATAAGAAGGAACTCGAACCACTCAAAGGAGTTATTGCTGATCTGCTTGGCAAGTCATCGGGGGTTGATAGCAGTAGTGTCGATACGAATTTATCGGCCATGGGAGGAGGAAGCGCCTATTCACCATCCTCGGACCAATAAGCAAGCATAAAATGGATGTGTATCAACAACAGCAATACACATCATGTGGATGAGAGAGATTATGTACAGAACTCTTGTGTTAACAATCTTGTTTTAACAATCTACATTTTGAAAATATTATTATTTCATAAATTATTTTTTGATAATCACCCATCATTTTCTTGTCAGTTTTCACTTTTGGCGTCATGCTGAGCTAATCTGAGTCTCAGACCACACTCAGATTAAAATTCAGGTTATCAAGATTAAACAAGTGTGACAAGGTATTATCTTTTCTTGATAGTATCTTGATACATAGGTGCCAAGATAATATTGCCACTTTACTACTCATCATTCACACCAATGATTGACAATGATAATGGTTGAGTCGTTGAGGATTTTTGTAAGGTTGATGTTGGTTCATATGGCTCAAATCTCTTCTTCTTTCTTGCCCATTTAATCGTCAATGTTTGTCCGTTTAACTTGAATTTTCCACCATTCTTTTTACCTAGCTTTTGCATGCATAACTCGGCGTCACCTTGATGAACAAAAGTGATCAAGTAACAATGGTGACTAGGTACATGGCTACACTTTTCAATCAAGTCGCTCAGATCGACAGTACCAACACCTCTTGTATTCTGTCCTGTTGTTGCATAAATGGCGATAAATTCTAGTAGGGTCTTTTCATCAATATAATCCTCTGAAGTTTCAACAACATTGTTATTGACTGAACCAATTTGAATCGTTCTTAAATCAATGAGAGATGACGTGGTTGTGTCAATGGTCACTTCAGATCCTAGTGCTGATGTTAGTCCTAAACTTCCATTGCTGTTGGAAGTGCTGGTATTAGAACTTGCCATTTCATCAAGACCCTCTTCATCTCTCAATTCATTCAAAACATTTCTATTTGCCAATTCATTTCTTAATAAATGTCTATTGGTTCCTCCTTCGCTTAACAATTTTTCAGCCTGTGAAGCAAAATATACATTGGTTACTGAACTTTTTTGTCCACTAAAGGCACTTGCTGTATTGCCTTCCACCGATGATTGATGATCCGTGAGAGAGTATTGTGAATCCCGTACGTAGGCAGGAATATCATAATCTAAATCAACGACTGAGACTTGACATAAATTTTTTGTAATTGCACAAACAGGACATATCACTGTTCGTTGATAATTGACGTCTTTTGGATTTTTTTTCCATGAAAAGGATGTGTATACTTTTCCACATAATTTACATTCAGCTCCGAGAGTGTATCTACGCATTTTTATAAACTTTCCATCTCCTAGACATTCTTTTCGTATGATTGGAAATTCTATGGGTGCACTGGATGACCCTCCCGATGATGATGAAACAAGGGTCGACTTGGAAACTGATGATGCAATCGTTCGGCTCATTTTTTTTAATATTTAATAAAATATTCAGCCCGGAGCAACGACGTGTTCCAGTTCAACCAAGAGGGCTAAAGTCTGGATAGAGTTCGGAAATTATTTGTGTTTCATGGTTAGTCTTTATTCAAAGGTCAAGTCGTCCAATAAATCCTCAGCATCCACACATTTGGCATTTCGTGAGGGTTTTCTTGGTGTCTGATAGCCTTCTACAAGAGCCTGGGCAGAACATGAAGGTGAGAGTTGAGGTGAATCCACAAGCCTTCCTCGAAATAACATGTTATTCGAGTTCTTTGCAGCTGATTTGGCAGCTTGTAATTGTTGTTTCAATTGCTCAATTTGTTGTTGAAGTTGCTTCTTTTCATCGGTAAGGATCTTATTCTTTTCCTTTTCCTTGTCGAGCAACTCGTCTGATTGTTTCTTGGCTTCATGAAACTTTTGAATAATCTTCTTCTTTGAATTGATTAATATTAAGAATTGACCATACAATTCTTTTTCCATCCTCTCTTTTTCTTCAACGACGAGTTTTGATTGTTCAATACATTCATTATAGTGTTTGGCTTGTTTACTGAGCTTGTTAATGGTTTTTTCATCATTTTCCTTACTAATGATGAGATATCGAAATAATGAAATGTGACCTGCCTTAGTGTTAGATGACTTTTTCAATTCAATATTGGAGATGATGTAATCACCAGATGGATTCACAATCATACTAATGATGAAATTGAGATTTCCATTACTCATATAATTGACTCGATATTTGAATTTGGAATTGTCTTGTTTCATGATGGAGGTGTGTACAATTTGGAGCATGTTAAACTCTTCTCCGGATGATGCTTGTCCCGCATAGGAAATGCTATGATGATTGTAGTAAATATTCTCTCCATCCGAGATGGTTAGTTTGATAATCTTTTTAGATGATATTGAATGGTTGTTAGTGATGGTGTTGTTCGTATGGTACAAGGTAGATGGAATATCGGAAGAGAGTGAAGTGGTGATGGGCGTTATTCCTCCTGCCACATGTGTGAACGACCCTCCTGACGAGGAAGCAAGGCTTGTTTGAACAACACAAAGATCGCTGTACACGACAAAAGAATTTCCATCGATTTCAAAATATGTAACGGTTTGTTCACTCATTTTTTGGCGGTTTATCGTTCGAAAGGCGCTTTGAAATCTGGTTTTTCAGCTGTGTAAAAGATTCAACGTCAGTCAATGCATTTTGATGACGTCGAATTTTGCCTTTTTTGACAAGCTCTCACACTCAACCTTTGTAAAAAATTGCACAATCAACACTCTCGCCATCATTGGGAAATGTCCACCCAAGAACAACCACACCACAATGATCATGAGACACTAAATAATGATCATCAAAATTCCTCTAAAAGTAGCCAAACGGACCTACTGAATGAACCAACAGAACACGAAAAGAAAAACAATCCGGACAACAATCCCATTACCGATCAAACCGTCATTCAAAAGAAAATCAAAAAACTAACAGAAATTCATCATGACTGGTATGATGGCAATGATTGCAAATGTTGTTTCCGATCATCCTGCGGAAATGAAATCATTACTTCTGCCAATTTACATGAAAGTGATGAAACCATGAAAAAAGTTTATAACACAAATAGAGGAGCATATTGGGATTGGTTAGGAATGGATGATATGGGAAAGAAATGTTTCTATTATAGAAACGATCCATTCAATAGAGAAGAATACTCCAATATTGGATTGTTTTTTGATGCTTTGGAAAATAATTTTCAAATCATACGAGATGAATTGGATAATTTATTGAAAGAAGGAGAACAAGATTTCCAGGCATGGCCAGAGACTATATGTAAAACAAAAGGAAAATGGAAGGTTTATCCATTGGTAAGTTACATCATTTTCATGCTGAAATGCTCAAAATTTTTCACTTGTGAATTAATAATTTCATTTCGAACATGTTGTCTGAACACAAGGGCTTTGCATTTGGACGAGATTTAACCAACGAACCTTCAAAATGCCCAAAATCAGTTCAATTACTCTCCAAATTAAACAAGGAGTACAATGTACATATCACCACTGCTGGATTTAGCTGCTTATCCTCGTCTTGTTACATTGCTCCTCACAAAGGTTATTGTGGATATAGTAATCATTGTTTGAGAGTGCATATGGGATTGAGAGTGCCAACCAGTAATCATCATGGATGTGCCATTCGTGTAGGAAATATTAGACATTGCTGGAAAGAGGGCGTTGTGTTTGCATTTGATGACTACATTACACATGAGGCCTATAACTTTACAAATGAGGATCGTTATATTCTATTGTTGGATATTCGTTTTAGAGAATGTGAAAAGTTCAAGTTCTACCAGAAACATTCATCACAAACAAGCCATCCCAATGAAAACGAAGATGACAACTGTGCCACAGCCAAAAATCAAACGTGTGTTGGCTCCTTGATCCACAACGAAAGTACCAAGTGGACTGGAATAGGTTCAAACACCCCGACAACCACAACCTCAACTGCAACCAGCACGGAGCAAAAAGAAGAACGAACATTTGTCACCCTCAAAGCATTCATGACCAATGACATTGAATGTGTCAATGCCAACTACACCAACGAGTTGAAAGACATGTTAAAAAACGTGGTGGATAAACAAAATTGAGCCGGTTCAACGAATCTCACACACTGATCACAAACAACAATAAACATGACAAAATATTAAACAAAAATTCTTTGTAAAAAATGCAAAATCAAGAAACTGTGCCGACCTCTGATGCTTCTTCGGCGGTGTCATCATCACAAGAATCGGAACAAATATCTCAACCACCATTCAATAATACCAGAAGCGATCTTCTCAATCCTAAAACTCTGCAACTCTTAGAAAATAGAGCCAATTTATTATCTGAAAGTTTCAATCATTTACTCGGATCTCTTCAAACCTCCATGTATGCTAAAAGCGCAATAACTCTACAACACATTGAATTATATAGAAATACCGTGGATAAATTTTGTACAGATGTCCACGAATCGATTGATAGTATGGAATCATTCATGAATCGATTAAATGATTTGAATCAAGAGTTGAAACAGATGAGAAACTTGTATCACAACATTAAAGAATTAAGAAAGACAGTTGAAATTATACAGCACAATGTGAATAATCATCAACAAAATCCCTCTTTAATATTTTTATCAAGCCCGGCCGGAGAGCAAGAGCACAGCAGCAATAGAAATGGTGTGGAATCAACAACATATGAACAACATTAAACATTGATCGTCACAGCTACACAACTGGAAACTATTGTCACATGAGCCACTTTCAAACGACACAGTAAATAATTTATTATTGAATAATTCGAGATTTTACTTGTTTTTCACCTCAACAAATCCTACAAACTTGTATTTTTCATGTTCATCATAGAATTTAATCCAATCTTTAATCGATTGAAGCTTTTCTTCAGTAAAATCAGAATATTTAGATTGTTCACTGGTGCATTCTTCTTTCTTTTCATCAAAGCATCTGTGTGAAAAAAAGTGAAATAATATTAGTTCAAAATGTGAGAAATCATAAAGGCATGATAACATACCCTGTCACAAATGATCTAGTTCCATCTCTACCTGAAAAGAAGCTATATCCACCTCCAGGCCCATAGTAATCTAACATAAGAACATATTCGATTGTTTTAGATCAACAAAATATTGGAGTTAATAAAATCTCAATGTCTCTTAAAACTAACCTTTGCCTTCACTAACATCATAAACTCTTCCAGCAATTGCCAAAAGCAATGGCAACTTCTTATTCTCACCCACTCCGTTATAGTGAGCCAAATCCTCCTCAGTGAACACAAAATAATCAGTACTGGACTTGCCTCCACTCTTTTTGAAAGGCAACTTGGCTCCATAAGTTGCAAAATCAACACAATGCGACGCTGGTGGTATCAATGAAGCTTCTGTAATTGTTTCAGATTTTTTATGATGGAATGTTTTCAAATACCACCTTACAAAACTTTGTTTAAAAGCTGCATCCGTCTTGTACAAGTACACACAGTACACAACCCAAAAGATCACCGAATAAACGATAAAATACAGAACATATCGGGTTACAGAGGTTTTCTTTACAGCTTCATGTGTTGGTTTGAATTCCGTTGTTGTTGTTGATCCATGATTATTATTATTTTCTAGACTCGTTGTTGATTCGTGTGCTTGTTGATGCTGATCTTTGTTGCTTCGCATTTTTTTAAATTTGAAAAAATTGCCCCATCATCACCTTTCTGTTGTTACTGTTGAACTCCATCATCTTGATCCTTGACATCAGTTTTTTACTCGACCGGTCTTTCACCATCAAATTTATATTTTAACATTATTTATTTTGTAAAAATCAGTGCTCACACTTCTCTCGGAACAAGATGATTCTGTTAGTAATTCTTCAAGGTCTCTTTTATACCTCTGTGGCTCTTGGTTCTCTTCATGTACTTCATTATTTTCTCTTTCAAAGAAAAAGAATGAAACATTCCATGCGAGGAAAGAATGTATTAATTACAGGTGGATCAACAGGTATTGGTCTCGGTATTGCAATTGAATGTTTAAAACAAGGATGTGCCAATTTAATTATTGTTGCTCGAAACCGAGACAAGTTAGAACAAGCTAAAATAGAATTAGAAACACATTCCGTAGAGAAACAGTCTATTTTCATTTATTCATGCGATGTCAGTGATGAAAAACAAGTGGATTCCATGTTGGAAGAAATCTACTCGAAAATGTTAATAAGAAAAGTTGATTATTTATTTATTAATCAAGGATTGTCCATACCAGGTTATGCTACACTTCAACCAATGAGTGATTTTAAATATCAAATGGATTTAAATTATTTCAGTCACGTACTTGTTTCAAAGAAATTTATTCCCTCCATGCTTGATGACAATAAGGATGGAAATTCATCATCACACATTATTTTCGTTGGAAGTGCATGCTCAATTACATCATTTGTTGGATACGGATCATACGCTCCTACGAAATATGCAATCAAAGGTTACGCTGAAGCATTGAGAAGCGAATTATTAGGTACCAATATTCATATTCATTTGGCATTGCCTGTGGATACTGACACAGAGGGTTTTAAAAAGGAAAACGAAACAAAACCAAAGGAATGTGCTACATTATCAAGTCTATCTGGATTGCAAACGTATGTTGAGTCAGGATCTTCACTGGTCAGAAATTTGATGAAGAGTGCCATTCAATTCTACGTGACATCATCCTTTGATACTTATTTGCAAATTGTGGGTGGAACATTGGGTGTTGGCCCTTGTGTAAATATTTACAACTATCCATTGTTGGATGCTATTGTGGGTGGAATGATGGTCATACCAGCTATTTTGAGAGGTTATGCCTACTATTTTGATAAGGTCAGTTATGAGGCTGCCTTAACACACAGAAATGAACTATTCAAAAAGAATTTGCGCAAACCTTTAGAGTCATACACAACAAAAGAAAAGTAAAATTCGAATGTAGTTGACATGATTTGTTCTTCAAAACTCACAATAATCGTTTGCTGTTTGCATTTGAACGATCTCAATTTGCCGTTCATCTCAATACTTTTTTAATGAAAAGTCAATTCTATTTTTCACTAATTCCATTGTAGACCAATGAGTATCAATGGCTTGAATAAAATCTGATCGAACAACTTTTGCTCGTTTTTTTAGATAATCTCCTTCATCGATTCGAATATAGACTCCTTCAATAGGCTCGTCAGTAGAGGAGTAATGCGACTTGTATGTATTCAGCAAGTGCATGAGATATTCCTTAGTGAGACTTGCCCCGTTATTATTTGGAATTTGTTCAATCACACACAAAGTGGGAGCATGCAAGTTCAATAACTGATTTCTTTTCTGAACCGAGACAAACTTTTCTGCATGTTTGTCATAAATATCGAATGCAATAAAAGTATCTGGTAATTTGTCGTACAAAATGGAGTGTTTTGCATACACCCATTCTCCATAAAGAATATATCCATTATTGTTTGCAGAAAGGAGAGCATAGAGCTCACCACTATGTTCATCCAGCCACGACTGCAATGTTTTAAATTGTGAATGCGATTGGCACGTGACATAGTGTGATCTATTTTGACATCTCAATTTATACGACTCGACATCGAGCGAAATTCCCAAATTAGATCCATCAATTTTTTCTTCAAGAGTAATGAACGGAGCTTGAGCCACTGAATAAAAACTGGAGGCCACATCGCGTTCGTCCAACACTAAATCATCACGAGAAACATCCTTGTTCGTAGCAAAGAGATGAGGAGTCCTTGGAAATTTAATGATATCAATCACTTGAGTTTCATTGTCGTCTTGATCCGATAATGATGATGACGATGATCCTTTTGTTTTGTGTTGGGAAGAGGCTTTTTTCTTTGAGGACATTTTTTTTGGTTGAGAAATGAACTTGAAACTCAAGCTCGAGTTGGTAAAACGAGGTTTTTTATGAAATATTCAATTTCAGCTTTGATGTTGGTTCACCTTCAACTTTGAACATAACCAAGTTCAGAGTGTGAGAAAGAGCTCTCTTTGGGGAGATGGATTGATTCCATGGAAAAATCAGTAAAGGTTCAACCAAAATCTTCCTGTATAAACGAAACAGAATATTCAAAATATTAAAAATAAAAATGTCTCATCCCTATCCTTCTCCCACTTCAAAACCTTTTTCTCGTGGACGAGGAAGAGGTCGAGGAGGAGCTTCTTCATTTCGTGGTGGAAGTAGTAGTGGAGGTAACCCCAATTATCGAGGTGGTACTAGTAGAGGAGGAACTTCATTTCGTTCCAGAGGCTCCCGAGGTAGAGGTGGAACAAATAGAAACTTTAATCAAGGTGATGGTAATAATTTTCAATCATCATCATCTGGAAATTATCAAGGCAATCGCGGAGGAAGAGGACGAGGAGGAAAATCAAAATTTGGTGGTGATGGTCAGCAGCCAACAAAATCAAAATTAGATGATATTATTGATGCTTATCTAGAGCAACAATATGCCACCACAGAATCCGGAGACACAGTACTAGATCTCTCTAATATTGCAAGTAATCAATATTTGATTGATAATGTACGTGAATTTAATCCAGCTCGGATATACAGGAAACTGTGCGAACGAGTTGTGCAAAAACATCCAGATGTTAATCTGTTGGATTTGAGAAATAATAATTTGAGCTCTTTGTTTAGCTTTTCGCCGTTAACTGGCTTACAAAATTTAACCGGTCTATGCCTATCAAACAACAATTTTAGTACTGTAGCTGATCTTCAACATTTATCAGGTTTGCAGTCTTTGAAACAACTGTATTTAAATGGAAACAAGTGTTATTCGGAACGTCCAAGTGAACAAGATGTCATCACATTGCTACAATATTTCCCTTCTCTAGATGTGATTGACACTGTATTAATTCCTGACTCTTTTAAGAATCGAGGAAGCATCATTCCTCCTATTAATATTGACAATGTGTATCTGGAGATTAACCGTGATGCACTCGAAAAATTTGTATTACTATTTTTCGATAGCCTCGATGACAACAGACCAGCTCTAAGTACACTATTTGACGATCATGGATCTTTTAGCATTTCTCTCGATGATAACATGTTACTAGAACCGCAATACGCAAAGCTTCACGAGAAGAAACGTAATCTGCAACCAAGCAACCCAAATCTAAACCCTCAATATTTAATCAAAACAGTTTTTAAAAACAAACTTGACAGAGACGGTGCATTCAAAAGTTTACCAAAATCAAAGCACAATTTGGATACTCAGTATTTGGTTGTCGATTGCAACGTTTATCATTCCGTTTCTCAAAATCAAAAAGTACCTATTTGGATGCTAACGATTCATGGACATGGTACTCATTTCAAGCCACAAGGAAGCAAAGATTCCTTCTCCTTTACTGCAAGCTTTGTTCTCAAACAAGGAACTGATCGATTGTTGATCAGTAACTTGATCTATCATTTAAGACCCTATGCTGGAACAAGTCGGGATGCATTTGTGGACATTTGTCAACAAGTGATTTATACGAACCAACTAGATCTTGCCAAACAAGCCAAGTTAAGAGAGTGCGTCTACCACACAAGGCTTAAACCTGAAGTTGCCTTTGAGCTGTTAAACCTGCCAGACGTGGCATGGACACCAAGAAAGTTTTCAGAGGTGTATGAACTGTACAAACAAAATGGAACGATCAATGCTGCTCACTATCTGTAAAGTCTCACTCCTCTCTCTTTAAAGTATTTCTTCAAGATGATATGCTCTCTTACATTGTAATAACGTTGAAGAATAAAAAAGAAACAAATAAGAAGAATTGAACGAATATCATGAATTTTCACACACTCACTTAAAAAATGTCCAAACTTGCCTACCGCCATCACCCACTGACCAACCCAAATGAATTCAATACACAATGTGCTCAAGCCATCATGGACAGAATTCAAAATGCACTCAACAAACATTCTCGTGCCATGATTGGCTTGAGTGGTGGTTCTACTCCAATTCCCATCTATAAAATCCTTTCCGAACTTTTAAAACCACTCCTTCCCAACAAGAATATAATTTTCTTTTTAATGGATGATCGTTATGTTCCGATGGACCATGCTGACAGTAACCAAAAATTAGTATTGGATTCTCTCAATGTTACTCAGGACCAAGTTACTCTCCTATTTCCAAACAGTCAATTACCCATTGATGAATGTGTGAAAGATTATCAAGAGAGATTACAACGTGAATTAGAAAAGCAACCCAATCAGAGAGTTACTCTATCCACTTTGGGAATGGGACCTGATGGTCATACTTGTTCCATATTTCCAGCCACTACAAAGAATAGTGACATTTTCTGTGATGAATTCAAAGTGGTGCACACGACCACTACTCAATTTGCAGTATTTGATAGAATCACTGTGAATTATCACTTTTTATTGAATCAATCAGAAGAATTATTCATGTTTTTCAGAGGAAAAGATAAGTGGCACTTATGGAAAGAAATGGAACAGTTCATTTTGGAGAAGAGAAATGGCTCTGCCCATGATACCAATGATTGGTTGAAATATCCATGCCTTCCATTTTTATGTATGGACAATTGTGTTTTATTCAGTAGTGACTGATTGGTATTAAAGCAGTTTTTCCGCCAAAATTTTACAAAAAAAAATGCCTTCAAACAACCAACCTCCGCCTTCATCAATGATGGCTCTTGCCACTTCCGATCTCAAATCAA